TAGTAAGGGCAGAAGGCCTACGGCCCGTGTTATTCCTTTTCTAGTATGCTTCTGTGAGTGTCCAGTCTTCTCTTGAAAGAGTCAATTGAAGGTGTGGACACCACTGCTTCAGGCAGCAGGTTCCAAGTATTGATGACGCGGTGTGAAAACCTGTGTGCCATGGATATTTTGTTCATTCTTGGCTTTTCTACTCGCCTGCTATGTCCTCTGAGATGTCTCGATCTAGTGGGAAGAAAAAGAGAGAACAAGTTAGGTCCAAAATCATTTCTCAGTATTCTGCCCATCAAAATTAGTCTGCGATAGGACAGAGTAAAGAGGTCCAGTTTTTCAAGCCGCTGTTTGTATGATAAACCCCAGAGTTCCGGAATTGCACGGGTAGCTGCCCTCTGTACTTTTTCTAGTATGTCCGAGTCACCTTTTAAGCAGGGGCTTGCAGCCTGAACGCAGTTCTCAAGCTTAGTCCTCACTAAGGATGTGTATACTGTGGTGAACATGGTAGTATCTAACTTAGTGAATGTCTTTTTTAAAGCCCAGAGGGTTCGAAACCCCTTGGCTGCGACCTCCCGGCAATGGGCCGTCGTCTTAAGATCATTACTCACTGTCACCCCTAGATCCCTATGAGACCGGACTACGGGTAATGACACATCCCCTATGTTGTACCTATTAACCTTTGAATCCCCAAAGTGTATGTAGACACACTTTGCCGTGTTGATAGGCATCAGCCACTCTTTAGACCAGTTTTATCATATTATTTAAGTTTGCCTGAAGAGTAAATGCGTCTTTGTCTCCAGTTATTGCATCGTCAGCGTATAATAACATTGGAGATTGCACTATACTTGTAAGATCATCATCTCGGAGTGACAGTGACTCGTGACCTTCAGACCACGACCCATCGCCGGAAGGTTGCAGCCAAGGTGTTTCAAACCCTCTGGGCTTTAAAACAGACGTTCACTAAGTTAGATACTATCATGTTCACCATAGTATACACAACCTTAGTGAGAACTAAGCCTGAAAATTGCGCTCAGGCCGCAAGCCCCTGTGACCCGGATATCCTGAAAAAGTACGGAGGGCTGCTACCTGTGCGATTCAAGAACTCCGAGGTTTACCATAAAAAGAGCGATTTGAAAAGCTATAACTCTTTACTCTGTCCTATCACAGACTAAAAGGTGATTTTATATTGATGTGTGGAATACTAAGAAATGATTTTGAACCTAATATATTCTTTTTCTCCGCACTAGATCGGGACATCTCAGAGGACATAGCAGGCGAGTAGAAAAGAAAAGAAAAGAACGGACAAAATACCCATGGCACACAGGTTTTCACACCAAGTCATCAATTTATTAAACCGGTTACTCGAGGCAGTGGCGTCCGCAGCTTCAGTAGATTTTTCGTGCCTTAAAGTAACCCTCGTGCTATTGATAGAAGAAACCAGACAAGTAGTGAATAGGTCTTCATTTCGATCTCAGCGCGGTAACAGTGGAGCGTGGGACTATCTGTTCAGACAAACAAAGGCTCTCAACATTCAATATAAGATAATAGGGAATATAACGCTTATACAAAACAAGGAAGTGAATGAATACTTGAACAATACTGTTTTGGCATATGCTTGGTTGTTTGGGGTCAACTCTTAACCAACCAACCTAAGCTGTTACAGATTCATTCAATAGGAGACTGGACATTCATAGAAGCATACTAAAAACGGAGTAACATAGGCCTTAGGCCTTCTGTCTTTACTACACAAACCTAAATCTAAAACAATTAACGAAAACGTTAGGAACATCGGGCTACTAACTAGACATGATTTCTATTACTAAGGTTTGCTAATATTAGCAAATTTACAATTTGATGATTCATGAATAATTTTCTCCGCTACGTGATACATGTCTGGACGTGGCTGATATCAGTGGGGACGTATCTTACTGATAGGACCCATTAATAGGTTATATTACCTTATGTACTTCTTTTCAACAAGTCTCAAATTGTCCCAATTAGCCGGTCAAAAGTGGTGTACCCCAAGGCACCATCTTAGGCCCTCTGCTCTTCCTTCTCTACGTTAATGAGTTACCACTGTTACTTAGGTCGTCGACATTATTGTTTGCAGATGATGTAAAAATCTGGAGAACAATAAAAAGTGCGGCTGATCATGTGGATCTTCAAGCTGACTTAGACGATTTAGTTAGATGGGTTCGAGAGTGGGGCTTAGAAATCAATGCTAGGAAGAGTGTACTAATGCACGTCGGTCACGGTAATAGTTACCGTTACACTATTGAGGTTAAACCTCTTCCATGCGTTCAAGAGCATAAGGACTTAGGAGTAATATTAAGTCATGACTTAAAAACAACTGCACATTGCAAAGCAGCCGCTGTCAAAGGTTTTCGTGCGTTATGGTCACTTCGCCGAGCGTTCAAATCTTTTGACGAGGAAACGTTTCGAATTTTATATCCCATATATGTTAGACCACATTTAGAGTACTGTATCCAAGCAGCTAGCCCGTGTCTAGTAAAGGATACTAACTCCCTTGAGCGTGTCCAGCGTGTGGGAACGAAATTAGTGAAGGGTCTTTCTAGACTCCCTTACGATGAGCGCTTAAAACGCCTAAACCTTCTCCCCTTGTCGTATCGTAGGACACGAGGTGACCTTATACTGGCATTTCGTATCTTTAATTATGATTTGGGTGTTAATATGTCTTATATTTTTGCTCCCTCCAGCACTAATAATCTCCGAGGTCATAGCAAGAAGGTTCATAAACCACGATCTAATAAACTTAAAGTGGGATCCCGTTTTTCTCATCGAGTAGTCAATCATTGGAACGCCTTACCCGAACAAGTGGTATCAGCCCCATCAGTGAATACTTTCAAGGAAAAGCTGGACCTTCACTGGAAAGCAATGTGTCAGGATTAACACAGGTTCATCAACCTACTATCCTTATTACTGAAGACTGAAGACTAAATCGTCTAAACAACATAATATCATCGAACATTCATCCTGTATCATGCATCATTGTGATGGCACCACTTTCGTTACTTTAAGGTTGGGCTTTATCAGACACACTGTGGCTAAACTCAATTCAAATCTAAAAATATCTTGGTTTGACCGCTTCTGCAAAACCCTACGAATTGTCGAAGTTGCGCACCAATCGTTTTACGATGGTTTGACCTTCAAGCCTTCAGTAACCTCCTCAGTGGACGGTACTTTTAAAGGGTTGTCAAAAAACCAAGGCAGCATACCATCTAACGGGTCGCTTCGTGTTATCCGTGTACAGAATCTCCGCTTTCACTTCAGTTCTGGAGGGTCGTGAAAACTGAGGTGAGGTGGTTTTAAATAGGTATATTCTGAATTGTCTCGTAAAGTTGATGTAGATGATGGTTTAAAAGTATTTCAGTGACAATAATATCCTCGCCCAGTGAAGTAGAGAAAATTGAAGTCCTGTAAAGCAGACGTACTGGCCGGAACTCCATGATAACTCATCTTTTGTCTGATACAATGGTATTTGAGTTTGTAAGTCACTCACTAATCAATTAACATCTGATTGTCAAGCCTAATTTCCGACATTGTATTGCCTCCCCCACAAAATGATGTGTGGTACTTCTGTGAGTTGGATAAGACGGTGGTACCATTGACTTGTCGCGTATTCTTTTGTTCCCTTGTGACTTGTTTTTGTTTCTTTTACGGGCTGCGACCCCCTATTAACGTTAGATAATTAATGTTAAATACTCTTCATGTACTCCGTTCCTCGGTTTGATTCATTACGATGCCAGTACTTGAAAACATTAATGCTTCTCGCGATATTGTTTACTACGTGTATGTATGTGTGGGAGTTAAGCATAACAAAGGTGTTAAATTGGCAGTGAAGACGGTCAAACGTTGGGATATAACGATATGAAGTAATAAATGGGAATAAGTAATGTTAGTGTACAGTTTAAGTAATAAATAAGTAATATAACACGATTACGTCGTAAATCACTATATTCGTGCTAACATTTTCAACAGGATTAAAGGTATCAAGTAGTTATCAAAAATGGTATTTTTCTTATTACGTTTCTCAAAGTGATAATTATTTACACAGGATTTCTCCTCGTTTTTGGAGGGACGAAAATTTTGCTAGTTTAATTTATCTTTACCTTGAAGTCTGGTGATTGTCCCTGTAAAGTAAATAAGGTTAGTCACTGACTTTCATCTCAAATACACATTAATTTCTTCGACCAGTATTAGTGGCTTAGCATACATCTAATTGGCGTATACATTCAACCATTAGAAAGTTTGTGAATCACTGGAATCTTCGTGCTATTTGTTTATTTACTAAGCCAATTGGTCTACTTTTTAACTGATGACGTTCCCAATTATAGTTTTCTCTATATTTTTCGTTCTTGTAAGTTTCTAGTTTTCAACTACTCGAATAGGTCACAAATATATTTTTTTGTAGTCAATCATTACTTACCGTTTGTAAGGTTAATGTTATAAATTTATTTCAACCGCTGAAAACTTTATCACACGAATGAGGTTACGAAAGATTCTCTGGTGTGTATAATCTTAGGGTAAAATTTTAAGTTATAATTCAAGGCTTATAAAGTGACTACGTAAATTATCCAATCAAATATCTATATATCATGTTGAGGGAGATTACCGTTTCCAAAACAATAAAATAGTTTTTACTGCTATAATATAGGCAAGGTATTCAAACAGCTAGCCGATTGCACTATTTCAGTGTAAGTACCCTAGTTATATACCATTAGTTAAGCCTATGAGAATAAGTTGTAACTGAACTTCTAAGCCAATAAACTACTATGTTTCTCACCCAAACTCGAGATAGCGATGGCACTAATATCAATTTTCCGATCTATAAGTTATTGTTCGTCAGTTTATTACCATTTAACATAAGTTTTTACATATATTTATTTAAGTCTCTGGATGTCATACCTGATAATCATTTTTTGTTTGTAAGCTAGTTTTAAAATACATATTCAATAGTTTTGCTTTTTCTACGACCATTTCAAACTTTTAGATCCAATGAACCATCTAACTTGTCGTTTTTGGATGAAGAAAATTTCTGTGTGGTTTCGAGTTTCCAACTTTATTAAAAATTCTCTCCTAGGGAATTAATTTGCAGTTCTCTAAACGCTATTCAGATGTCAGTGACTTTAGAAGTGTACTTTCTAAGTCACGCAATGTTCTGGTATTGACTGGTGCTGGTATAAGTGCTGAAAGTCATGTTCCAACCTTTAGAGGATCAGGTGGATTATGGAGGAATTTTTCTTCCCAGGTGATTTCTTTAAAAATAATTGTGAAAAAAGTTATTTGAAGGATCTTGCTACACCCGATGCATTTCATTCAAATCCTGGTTTGGTTTGGGAGTTTTATCATTACCGTCGTGAAGTCGTCCGTCGTAGATGTCCTAATGCTGGACATATAGCTCTTGCCCATGCAGAGAAACAATACACTGAATGTGGTCGCTCATTCTTTGTCATTACACAGAATGTGGATGGCCTTCATGCCAAAGCAGGGAGTGTTAATGTATTGGAATTGCACGGTATGTCCAAGCGCATAAATGGTAGTTTCTCATCAGAATATTTCTTGAGTTGCTACCATTGTTTACACCTTATTAAAGAATACGTGGCTATTGTAGACTTTTTCTTACAGAAATTCACTTGCACTATTATACTAATTTAAAAATTCCAGAGAAGTATAGTATTTACATATTGTTCACCAAACGTTAGCGTGGCTGAAAAATAAATGTATCTAATACGAAACAGCCGTAATTCAAACATTACACTTTATTCAAATCTACAATGAAGCTTACGAAGAATCCCATGGTGATTGGTTGACAATATCTTCCAGATTCATGGATTCATTTATTTTGATTTAATCTGTATGTGTATATGTTTAATTTGTAAGATTGATGGTTGGGAATTAGACAATATCGTTGACAGAAAAGGACATTCATTCATTTTCTATATTCCAACTAATCTTCGATATGGTATTCACCTTTTTTTCAAACAACTGATATTTTTCTGTTTAAATTCACTGAGTCTCATCATTTGATTTTTTCATCTTTCTGTGATATTAAGAGATATGGCAATGTGAGATAATACATTATTGAGATATCTTTCACCTCTCTCAGGAGCAACAATGCCAGGATGTTTGGGATGCGTTTCTCCCCCTCTAGATGCAACTCGTTGCTTCAGAACTGGTCTGCGTCAACACCTGAACTAAGGATATGGAGTGAAGTAGTCGACCGCGTCGACAACTTCATTTATCTTGGAAGTCTGATCAGCCCTAATGGGTTTGTGTCTGACGAAATCTCTGTACGGATTCAGAAAGCTCGTTTGGCACTTGCCAAACTGCGCAGCAGTTCGTTCTGTTCTACTTCACGGCTGCGAAACGTGGCCATTGAGAGTATAAGATACTCGTAAGCTATTAGTATTTGACTACAGATGTCTTAGAAATATTGCTGACATCTGCTGGAATCACCGGGTAAATAATAGTGAGGTTAGACGCAGGGTATTAGGGGATGATGGCAAACCATTTGATAAGGTTGTAAATCGTCGTGGACAGATATCGTTGGGCCACGTGTTACGTATGCCGGAACATTAATTACCACGGTGAGCAATGCTAAATAATGTTGAAGATGGTTGGAAGAAAGTTAAAGGCAGCCAAACCAAAACGTTGAACCAGTCCATAAAGTCACTGGCTTCTGGCCTGAGCCATGTTGGTAGATGGAGACTACCTGGTTGTGGTCCGTACGACAATCGTAAGTAGTGGTTGGAAACACTGGGTGATATGGTTCACAGTCGATCACAATGGCGTAGGTGTATACACCCATTGTCTTCCCTTAAACTGTGAGATCAAAATTACTTTATGCCTTTACTTCTACTAACTAATTCTTTCTTCCTGTATTGTATCCTTATATAGAATTTTCGTTTCATATATTACTACCAATGAAGTAACTACTTTTATTAATTTGATGTTCATCGTGTTGTGCTAATGAGGTGTGGCAACTTGGACCGATGCATATATGTGCTTGGTCCTACTTTGTAGCTGACTGACTGGCTGACTTCTCTGTTTTATCAATACAAGCGTAGCTCCTTAATATCCTAACCTGTAACATATTATACTATAGATCTTTCAGTCGAATTTCCTTTTAATTCACAAATAAATGTTGTGGTTGTAATACATTTAGTAATGGTCGCTTGGAGTTTTATGTACATTAATATCTTTTCATAACCGTTTCATCACCATTTAGACAAATTAGTCGATGCTATTACCTCAAAAAGTGAAATGTTCTAGGTCCTATAAATATTTAAACAACGATTCCATTGATCCTGAATAATTCTTGCGTACATGTTTACAGACAGTCATTTTATCGTCAGTATTACTAACGTCATTGCATCATCGAATTTGAGTAACATTATGGGTAAACTAAAAAGTCAGTCATGGCCAACTCTGTCCTAAACGTTCTTCTGACAGTGTTTATATCTTTCATTGGGCTCTGATGTTTAGTTCTCAGTCATTGTGTACGTTTGTATATGCAATAGGTCTGTGCGTGATTAATCTTTAGTATGATGAACTTTGTAGTCAGCATCTGATCTGCTTCAGTTTGGGCACCCGGGCAGTATCCTAGCCCTCAAATAAATCGAATAATTTATGTGGCGCCTATGTATTTGGTGCCTCCTTTTGCTTTAAATACTCTGGTAGTAAGGTAAGAAGAAATAAAAGTAGAGTTAACACAAAATTATTAGTAACAATTCAGTCTGGTGGCTACTCAACATCAAAATGACCCAACTTCAATGGTCGACATTTTAAAATCTCAAGTTTCATACCTTAACGTTTATGCCTTACTCAACAAAATTGGCGTTTGTTTACTACTCATTTCCGTTACTAGGTTTTTTTAAATATATTAGCAGTTGAAGAAATGAAATACCCGTCTTCTAACCAAGCTTGACGGTGGCTTATGTGAAGCGAATTAATTTAGTCGTATCATATTAATGTCACCAGCTGACTTTAAATTGACAAAGTTGAAAGAATTCTGCTGTCTGTGTAGCATGTTCTGTTTGTTATAATCTAGTTGGATAAAAATATTTTTAATTGGCTCTTTCAGCACTTATAATCTATGTTTTGGGATACCTTTATGTTGATCCTTTAAACGAAAACTATATACTTAAGTTACATAATATGAGAATTTTCATTTTTGTATAAAACTTGTCTTTTATTAACAGGAAACCTTTATAAAACACGATGTTTAAAGTGCAGTGACATTCGAGTGAATTTTGACAGTCCGATATGTGCAGCATTACTTGGTCGCGGGTAAGTAATTGATTTGTTAATTATTTTTATCATATTGACTATGATTTGAAAATGTTTATTTTACAAATGATCTTCACAGTTAATGCATACTGTATAATTTGTATCTCAGTTAATACATTTGACCTCACGGATTTCCGCCTCCGGCGGTAAGGCCCTTTAAAGAACGGAGCTAACACACTAAAAACCTTCCACGAAAAGGCCGTGCGCGACCATCCTCAAGCAGTTGTCCCTTGCGCTCTGCGGTCACGCTCCCAGGTCTTTAAGACCAACACTAATTCAATTTCCTTTTCAGGTTCCTCAAGAAATACCCTTCCACGGTGTGGGCAGCCGGGAAGTGACACCAACCCTCATACCCGTAACAGCACACGAGACCAAGTTGGTCACATTTAAATCCTTCCTACACCTCCTTACACCACTCTTATCTCCCCGACTAACCCTCCTCACGTCTCTTTACCACCTCGCACCGTTAGGGAAAACGATTCGAGTACGCGGAATGCTATTCCTGGTCTCCTGAAACCACGCTCTAAACTACACGTAGGAGCTTTTAACGTCCGAACATTATGCCAAACAGGACTACAGGCTTCCTTAGCTAGGACTTTAGAATCTCGCATCATCGGTGTGTGCTGCGTCTCCGAAACGCGCATACAGGATCTAAGTAGAGTCATTCATTTGACCTAACCATGCCGAAATAAAGAACCGCCTCGATTCACACTTCGTGTATCTGGAAGCTCTGATTCTGCTTCCTGTGGCCTCGCCGGCGTAGGCATAGCACTGAGTTCCAGGGCAGAAATAGCTCTCTTAGACTGGATCCCAGGAGACAGTCGTTTGTGTGCTGTCCGACTAAACGGATCAGTAAGGACTCAGAAAGATAGGGACACTCGTCGTTGCCTCTTCGTCGTCTCTGCTTATTCTCCCACTGACTGCAGCTCAGATGATGTAAAAGATGAGTTTTACGGAAAGCTTTCCGACCTTCTCCGAAAAGCTAGGCGCTCTGATGTAGTAATAGTGGCCGGTGACTTTAATGCTCAAGTAGGTAAACTAAGCGAAAAGGAGAGACACCTGGGTGGATCTTACAGTGTCATGGCTTAACGAACAGATAATAGCGACCGTCTGTTGCAGCTATGCTCAGATAACCGCCTGTTCCTTGCAAATACTAACTTTAGGCATAAGGAAAAACATGTTTTAACATGGCGACCCCCTAATTCGTCCCAACGTTGGACCCAAATAGATCACATCGCTATCAGCCACCGATGGAGTGGCTCGATAGAAGACTGTCGCTCATTCTGGAGCACATGCTTAGATTCAGATCATGCTCTAGTACGAGCGCGTATTTGTCTGCGTCTTACGGGACGTAGGAAAGACGCTTCAAGGAAACCTCTTAGGGCCCTGTTTAATGATAGTCAAACTAAGAGTATATTTCAGGGACAACTAGAAAAACAGTTAGGCAGTCATGTTGGTGATACCCACCCCGAGGCAGCATGGAATGATATCCGAAAAGCTGTGGAAACAGCAGTGATATCTGCCAGTAAGGTAACCCGCAAGGTTAGGGAGAAACACCAGATCTCAGCAGCATCTATCGCACTGATAGATGCTCGGAAACTCATTCCACCTGGTTCTGAACATAATGAGGAGCGGAGTCAGCTTAAGCGCAAGCTGACAAGAAGCCTACGCAATGATGATGAACAGTGGTGGGTAGCGAAAGCAAGAGAGATGGAAAAGGCAGCGGCAATAGGTAATAGCAGACAATTGTTCAGACTTGTTAAGGAAACCGACTATTAGCGAAACACTCTCAGAGGAAGATGGACATATTACACATTCTCAATCCAGGAGATTGGATCGATGAGCAGAACACTTTAGGGATCAGTTCAACTGGCCTTCAGCCACACTTCGGTTTCCCACGATGTCTAGTCAACCTGAATGGCAAGTTAGTGTAGGTCCTCCGACTCTTTACGAAGTTGAAAAAGCCATAAAAAATCTGAAACGAGAGAGAGCAGCAGGCCCTGACAGGTTTACTCCTGAGATTTTTAAGGATGGTGGTCCAGTATTAGCAGTGAGATTAACTGGGGTCTTAGGTAGAATTTGGGAACTGGACGTAATCCCATCTGACTGGTCTCAATCAGTTTTTAAGAAAGGACAAAAGTCCTCTTGTGACAATCACAGAGGAATCAGTTTGACTAATATAGTGTCTGAAATATTGGCTTCAATAATACTTCGACGCCTAACCAAAGCTCGTGAAGAGCGGACTAGAGAAAATCAGGCTGGTTTTCGACCTGGACGTGGTTGTATAGACCACATATTCACACTACGTCAGGTCTTAGAACATAGACACACGTTCAGACACCTCACAATCGTAGTATTTCTCGACCTCAAGGCGGCATTCGACTCTGTTGATCGTAAGGTTCTATGGCAGTGTTTGTCATTGAAAGGAGTACCAAAGAAGTACATTAACCTTATACAGGCTCTCTACTCGAACGCAACTGGTAGAGTGAGAGCTTATGGTGAACTGTCATCAGAATTGATTACCTCAAGTGGTGTTCGTCAGGGCTGTCCACTCTCTCCATTCTTGTTCAACTTTGTCGTCGACGTACTTTTAGACATAACACTCTCCTCATCTAAATTTACAGGGGTTGAACTTGTACCGGGAGGTTCACTTGTTGACTTAGAATATGCAGATGACATAGTTTTATTTGGTGAAGACGCTGACAAAATGCAGTCTTCTGACCACTCTAAGCAACAATGCAAGCATGTTCGGGATGCGATTCTCTCCCTCGAAATGCAAAATGTTGCTTCAGGATTGGGTTACATCGACATCCGAACTAGTGATAGGGAGTGAAGTAGTTGAGTGTGTCGACCGCTTCACTTATCTTCGAAGTCTCATCAGCCCTTGTGGTTTAGTGTGTGACGAAATCTCAGCACAGATACAGAAGGCTCGACTAGCTTTTGCCAACTTGCGTCATTTATGGCGTAGGCGAGATATCCGTCTATCAACCAAAGGACGTGTTTACTGCGCAGCAGTTCGTTCCGTCCTACTTTGTGGCAGTGAAACATGGCCGGTAAGAGTAGAGGATATCCGTAGGTTACTAGTATTTAATCATAGGTGTCTTCGAAACATTGCTCGTATATCATGGGACCATCGAGTAAGTAACACAGTTGTTAGGAAACGGGTACTAGGTAAGGATGGCAAATCAATTGATGAAGTAGTGAAACTGAGTCATGTTGGTAGGTGTAGACTACCTGGTTGGGGACCGCGAGATGATAGCAACCGATGGTTAGAGACCCTGAATGACATGGCTCAAAATCGTTTGCAATGGCGCAGGTGCATCCACTCTTTGTGTTCTCCCAAATTTTGATCTCCTTATTCCTCCTTGTCTCTTTTTTTCTCTTCCCAAATTTATTTCACTGGATTATACTCTTTAAGTAACATCTCTAAACACTAATCTTCCCGATTACTGCTTATACTCTTATTACCTCTACCACTACGGGATTTGAATCGACCATTGCATCTCTGTGCTAATGTGGTGTGGCAACTCGAATTGATGTACGTACGTACGAAGTTCTACGTTGTTACTGACTGACTGACTGACTAATACATTTGACAATGTAAATAGTTATGCAAAAGGATACAAATGTGTAAAATACTCGGTTCATAGTTTTATATATGTGACAGACTATATCAGTGAGCATATGCACAAGCATATATTTCAATGGAATTGAGTAATTCGTTTGAATGTTTGTAGTTTTCGATACAGTGCAATTTAACTTTATCTAATACCTAGTTACTGGTTTGTAAATGTTTCGATCTTTACTAATAGAGTTCGAATTTCAATTGTAAATCAGTCCGTTTAGTTTAGTGTGAGAAAATCGAATGTACTGTTAAAATCGCTAGCATAAAACTGTTCAAATGACATTAGTATATATGTAATTCATAGAGTTCTTCAAATATATCTTTTTGTCAAAGTTTAATTATGAAAGTCTCATTATCGTTCTATTACTGTTATAAAATTGATCTACCTAGTTAAACATTGGTTGTTTCCAACTCCTATGAAACTATGTGAACGTGAATTCCCTTCACTTTCAGTTCACCAATCATTGAGATTATTCCATACGAGCCAATTCCTGCATCTCAGTTACCACGTTGTCAAAATCTTATTAACAGTAATATATGTGGTGGACTGCTACGACCACATGTTGTTTGGTTTGGAGAAAATTTTGAACCACATATCCTTTCTAGAGCTGATGAAATAGTTCAGAAAGCTGATGTCTGTCTGGTTGTTGGTACTAGTTCTGTTGTTTATCCCGCTGCAAGTTTTGCTCCATCTTTAGCCAACCGTGGAATTCCTGTCGCTGAAATCAATGTAGAAGTTACTCCAGCCACTCATTTATTACAGTTAGTGTTTTATCAATATTCCTTTTCTTTAACAATAATTATTGTGTTAGATTTTGTTATGTAATTACTTATAAATGTTAGAATTTGTTTCACTTTGACGTTTTATTTTATCACCATAAATTATTGTCATTCTAATCCATACACATTCCGTTAATTTCTACACTGTCCCACATTGTTAGTTAGAAAGAAGATTGTCCAGTGAAGTCATGTACAATTAATAAGAAGCTAGTGGGAACAAAAGTCACATAATTTAGTGATAAGATATTAGTTTACAAAAGTCAATTAATGAACAAAGTGACAAAACTATAACATATGTGTTGTATTGTTTGACTGTTATTCTACATTGACGTAACAAACATGAATTTTGGAAAGTAATAATTACCGAAAAAAACCCATTTAGTTTAATGATACCATATGTTATGCTCTCCTCTTTGTATCATCAAACCAAACGGTGTTTTCAGCTTACTTTCGTAATTGCTGCTCTTCAGTATTTTAGTCTTCGCTAGATAGTGTGTTGGCGTTCGAAGCAATTGATACTGGGTCCCAATCTCAGTATAAATTTTAACACGAGGGTGCTAGTTCATCCTAACTGATAATTGTCATGTAAGAAGAATTTAATTGTTAGCCTCTCAAAGATAATTGTTTTCATGGGAACGTTATGGTATTCCACTCGTTCCTCAATTTTCACTAGCCGTAATTAACTTTCTTATTAAGCGCATATTAATAATTTCATATGTTACTACCAGCATAGGGTTGTGGAGATTGTTGAGTTTATTATTACATATGCGCCACACAAATCTCATTCGATATGTGTGAGGGTTGTGATACTGCCCGGGTGCCCAAACCGAAACAGGTGGTTTTTTAGGGGGCCGCACCCCGAGCCTTTTACCTGAAGGTCTGATCCACAAGGCAGTGGAGCATCGTAAGGAGATGCAGTCCCATGGAAGCCGGTGACCAACAATTGGTTCATACGCCATTTGTTCCCTCAGGATACTGGAGCCCATGTGCACCATTAGTTTAGAATCCGGTTAAAGCGCCGACCCCCAAATGCCCTGGTACGGCCAAGAGTGGGGAGAGTTCGCTCTCCCTCTCGAAATGCTCTCACATGGCCACGCGTATATAGCTTCTGCCAGGGAAGTCCTACTCACTGCCTTCTCGTAGCGGGGGTGTTGTTTACGAAATTGAGAGGACGAAAAGCGATTGTTGAGTTTAGATTGATATCATGAATAGATCAATGTTACACCACAGTTAAAGACCGGAAAGCACTAGGCGGGAGTTCTGTCCTAGTATGTGACCCCTCAGTAGTGTCAATCCACGATTCCGCACGCGGGACTCGGATCCGGAACCTTTGGTTGAAGTCAGACATTAAAACCGCTGTGTCCCGGTTCAGTGGTCTAGAGGTTAAGCGTTCGCACACAAGACCGATTGTCCTGGATTCGAGTCCTATATGTGGGATCGTGGATGCGCACTTCTGAGGAGTCCCATACTAGGACGAGACGGCTGTCCAGTGCTCCCAGGTTTTCAATGGTGTTCTAACATTGATCCATTCATGATATTAATTTAATTGTTATAAGTACTTAATAACAAGTTATTCTTTCCTTCTCTCAACATTACATCATTATTCTATTTCAGATACCATTTTCAAGGAAAATCTGGTGATATTCTACCAAAACTGTTTAATTCCTTAGCCTTAACTTAGTCGATATGATAATTAAATAATGCTATTTTTTGTATGTATCTACCTTCAACTTCATTTATTTGTTTTGTAATCTTTGTTTACGTTAAAATCTTTTGTATAGTCTATTCTAATTACACTTTCTATCGAGATATCACTTGGACAAAAAGAACGAAATCAGCAAATGAACCAATAAAATTTATTTTGTGCATAAAATGCAAAGTGTTTGAAAGGTGAAACAAATATTATGAATCATTAGAATAATGCTTTTTAACACCAGAGTCTGAAAAAAATGTTTAGTTATTTTTATATCTTCATTATATTTCTTTGTAGTGCCATTTTACAAGATTGACAAATTAAATTGCCTACCATCCATGTAGCATTACTCAGTAAATTATATGGATAAATGATTGTATTGTTGACGTATATCATAAGATTATTTTATTGTGTTTTCTTTTCAGAGAAGTTCTCACCAATGTGGCTGTTATTTTTTTTGTCTATTTTAAACAGATTATATCTTTTGTTTAGTTCCCAGAAGTCATTTATGACAGAGAACTATACTTTTATCGGGAGGAGGGCCTCCTATTCCTTTTTCATCAGCCGAGATTTTCAGCTTCATTTGCTTTTTGTAATGTAAAGCAAGATGTCACACGGCCCCTCTTCAAACGGTAATATTTCAGTCTCAATTTCATTTATTTATTTGAACACATAAATATTGGTACAAAGGGGCATCGGTTACATATACACCACACAAGTCACTTGGTGTGTGTATGGTCTATGATTCTGCGTGATCAATCTGTCAAAACAACCACTAACAAATACGGAAGAACACCTACTCCAAAAAGGATTTGACATTCTGCATGAGTGCCCAGGTTGAAGCAGGTGGTTTTTGGGGGGAGGGGCACCCGAAGCGTTTGACCTAAAGGTCTGATCCACAAGGCAGTGAAGCAACTTCAGGAGATGCAGTCCCATGGTAGCCGGTGACCAATAATTGGTTCATACGCCATTTGTTTCCTTACGATCCTGAAGTCCATGTACACGATTGATCTAGAATCAGGGTTTCCCAACTCCACTAGGTGGACTCTCCGTGTTTACCAACTGAGTTAAAGCACCGGACATTTCACTTTTCGTCCTCTCAATTTCGTAAACAACACCCCCGCTACGAGAAGGTAGTGAGTAGGACTTCCGTGGCAGTGACTATACTTGTGGCTATGTGAGAGTATGTCGAGAGGGAGAGCTGACTCTCCCCATCCTCGGTCTTACCTGGGGGCGGGGCTTGCTAGCCTTTTACTGTTTATTTTCCGATAGAATAAAGTTGTTAGCGAGCATAGTCTACGTTTGAAGAGAGTACCATAAGCCGTAACAGTAGTCATGGGTAAGTTACTAGGATATAGGTAGTGATTGGTTATCTGAAATAAAACCGTATATTTTATTGTTCTTGTCATCAACCGAGCGATGACGATGAAATCAAAATTCTGTAAAAGGATTTCTTTTTAAACTAAGTTGTTTTGAACATGTACATTTTTCATAAATTGAAGTAATTGATAAGCTACTTTCCGTAGGGAAATGTAAGCAATTGATAGTCGTATAAGTTTATCAGGCATTAGTAATCAGTGCCATGTGTGTGTAGTCTTTAGTGCGGATTGAATTTTGTTGATCAATTTGCAAAGTAGCCACTAGTCTAGAAAATATGTAGCTTTCATATCAGGTAGTTAAAGGTAGCTGACAAATGGACACTCGAGTTTTGAATGACTCAATGCTAACGTCTTGGATACAAGCTTGATGGCCTCTTTCGACCTTCAGTGCGAGCATCTATCCTCTCGAGATTTCAGGTAAGCCTTACGAGAGTAAACTAGCAGGAAACTTAGCTCTAAAGTTTCTTACCAGCTAACTCTAGCTACCTCTCAGTCGATAATCATTATAATAACCAGTAAAGTATAAATAACAACAAAATATGTTGATTCACACCATTTATATAGATAAATAATCGATGTCAAATTCATAAATCTGTTAACTAGAGACATTCAATAGATGATTTATTCCCTTATTTAACACTGATGTTACTAGAAATACCATATAAGTTGACATCAGAAACACTTCACAGTTAAAACAACAAATTTTGGAAAGGGAATGGGGTGATTTATAAGCGTATTAAAAGTAAATATCGAGCCAAATTCGTCCACCTAAATATTATGATTCATTTTATGAATAGGCTTTCTCTTTCATGAGGTCCTATTGGACGAACGAATTGTATAAGGATTGGATCGTTTTCCTTAATAGCACTCATTAGGTTTCGGTCTCAAACCCCACTCCACCCCTTTATTTCTGACAGGCGATAATCATCACTAGTCTTTACATAAAGTTTTGAGAAAAATGTAATACGCAATATTTTGTATTGAATGAATGAATTACACTAAGTTTCAAATTAATAAAAACACATGACATCCAAATACTCGTTTAGTATAGAAACAACTTCAGCTGCTCTGTTGCCCATGTGATTGTGCGATCTGACTCATTCAGTGACTATCATTATACATCATGTCATGGAATGAAGAACTAACACAAAAACTACTTAAGAGTAGTTCACATCTTAAAGGTAAATTTTATGTGGCCTAATTAAGAAGTAGGATTGTATGTTGACGAACAAGTTGTAATATGTAAGCTATCAGACAAATTAAGGTGGATTATATAGTTGTTCGCATTTGTTGAAGGACGGCTTTTTTAAACCTGGAATTTTCGACATTTATTTACTTCTAAACCTATATAGAATGAATCCTAGTTGTACACTACATTAAAATATTTAATTTTTTCGTAGTCAATGTATAGAAGATTGCTAAAAATAGGTGAACCTAGAATTCTATGTAATGCGGAATAGTATAAAATATATCCAATATGTGGAATTTACTGATTCCAAATTTATATAAGAAATCATCCTGAAATGATTTTTGTGTAGATTCGTAAAAAATTATTCATTCTACTTACAAATTCTGATATGTTTTGCTTTGTTGTTCATGCTCTAGTTCGATTAGACTGTTAATACTGATACATCTATTGTGGTAAATATCTACCTTAATCATAAATGATCTAAGAGAAACTGTTCCAATTTATACTTAAGTGTAAACCAAATGTACCTCAAGTTTTCATTCTAGTAAAAAATTCCTCATTTATTCCATTTTAATCACTAATATTTTTCAATACACGGTGGGAGAAAACAACTAGCAGAGTAATTTCAACGAAATAAGAAGAAAATTACTGCGTGGATAAAAGAAAGATTCTTTTACGTACTGAGATTAGTCAGTGAGTCTCGTATCTCTGTATAATAATAATAAATTATATTCTGAAACTAATAATTACAGAATTCACGCCAGTTCACAGGTATGATCAATTTGATATAAATAGTAACATTAGATGTGCAGAGCAAACATGTGATAGAAGAAAGTTTTAAGTATACTAGATCAGTAATTGTTTAGTAAGTACATGTATTACAGCGATCCAATGCATCAGGCGGGAATTTTTAATATTTCTTAAATGGATAGCCTGTTGATTTATGAATGGAGCAATTAAGGTGATTTCGTGTGTCAGATCGAACTAATGACAATTATCTACAACTAGAGAAATTAAAACGAAAACAGAGGACACGGAATACCAAAATATGTCAATCAGGACTACCAAAATGCATGTGTCATAGTGATATACTGTTATTGTTATTCAAATTAGTTAAACTTGCTGGGAACGGTGTTAACATAAAATGACAGCAAGTAGGTGGTTTTACTTAGGGAATGCACTAATAAAAATGGCTAAAAATTGAAAGTTCCTATTATATCACTTGTGGAATTAGATACACTTACAAGTGCTAGCACATCCAATGCATTTTCAGAGGAGCAGTATTGTGGTGTTTGAATTAACTAATGATTCTTTTGTACTTGTTGAATGCTCGATTTCGAATTCTAAATACAGTACATTCGTTGTGCCTGTGTCTTCTTAATTCAATTGCGTTAATCCTGGGATTCCTAATTCATACTATAATTAGAATACTATATTGGCGTCGCGATGGAGCCTGCAATGGAAAAGTTAGATATTCATTCAACTTCAGAAGCTTTTGAAGATTACTTTGAAAGGTTCGAAATCTGGGCTATGACCAAGGAAGATGATGAGGATGTTAATATTGTGGCACACTTCCTCACATTCATTGGAAAAGAAGCATACAGTTTATTAAGAACTCTGGCTATGCCGGAAAAACCCATTTCGCTTTCTTATACAGCTCTCAAGGATCTACTGCTAGACTATGCTCAGTATACAAATTTCAAATGTCGTAAAGGAGGAAGATTTCGTAAAATGATTCATGAGGATATAAAAAAGTCCACTACATTACTACGTCATCTCAACCTAGTGCATACTCAAGGTTATGCAGACAATTCATTGAATTTGGATGCAGTTCACGAGGATGGGGACAAGTTTGGTCAGTGTTTGTCCTGTTGCAAGTTCCACTCTTCTAATTCATGTAAATTTCATAATTCTAAATGCTTTAAATGTCGTGATATTGGACAAGTTCAGTCAGTTTGTAATGCTAATGTTCATCTTACTGCAATTAATATTAAGTCTTGTAATTCTGATTCTACTGAGTCGAGTATTCATGATGATCATTTATCTTTATCAACGATTTCAAAAGACAGTGCAGAGTCATATGGCAGTTCAGAGTTAAATGAAATCCAGAATTCTTGTGAGACAACATTTCCTAATCAACCGATTTATCAGAATTCTCATGCTATTGTACCAAGTATGACTTTTCCTAATGATTCACATATTTCTAATGAAATTACTTGCAATTCTGAGGAAAATATGTTAAATGAACCTAATCATGATCGAAAACCTGATGTGGTTTGGATAGATGCTGATTTTTCTAACGATCCTACGCTCTGCAATGACAGTCCTGATGAATTTCATGAGAATATTTCAGAAGAATCAAATCCTGATGTCATATCATATATTACCTATCCTCATGATGTATTTGATCTTCGTGAAAAACCTGCCCAATGCGAAGCACGAGTACTAAGTGACCTCGAGTTTTATTATATTTCGGATGATTTCATATCAACTGCTGTTTACTCTTATCACAAAAACAGTTCTAATGTTTACTCTAAACAATGTGAGATATATGTTTTAAATGAAGCCACATTATTCATAACTTGGGAGTATAAAGATCCAACATTATTTCGTGGGGGGGGATAGTGTTGAAAAATCTATGGTTCGAATTCTAGATATTAATGATTTCATTACAAAACCGACATGCTGGTTGTATACAATGCCAGGTGAGTCTGTTCCGATTTCGTTTGTTAATTCCAATACTAATGAGCACTTTCTAGATACTACAAAGTTTTTATCTTATACAATGTCGGACAGACTCAGAATGAACTTAACAAGAAGACGTACAACCGATTACAAACACTTATACTTCTATTTAAGCTGTGGCGGATGTGGTGTTTGAATTAACTAATGATTCTTTTGTACTTGTTGAATGCTCGATTTCGAATTCTAAATACAGTACATTCGTTGTGCCTGTGTCTTCTTAATTCAATTGCGTTAATCCTGGGATTCCTAATTCATACTATAATTAGAATACTATAAGTATACAGCGAATAAATAATGGGAGTGATTTTATCGTACCGATAGATTGCGGTAGGTTATTCCAGAGTCTAGAAAATTTACAGGTTGTAGTGTCAGTTATTATGCCAAGCCCATATACCTTATTCTAGCTTCCGGACATCCCATTTTATTCATTCTACTCGAGCCATACTTTGACCTTGTTATTTATTCGCTTATCAATCTAGACTGTTTTTATATGAGCGTATATGTGTGTGCCCTTCTTATTCCATTAATCACATGTCTGTAGCTTCATTTCGTCTGACTATAAATATTGAGTAACGCTTGACTAAAATGGGAGTTGGCATCCCAGCCATCTTCCATACGTGTCATCTTTGCTTTGCTGTGCTTCATTCGCTTTATGTACGAAATATGTGTATTCTCAAGTCAATTCTCGTTATTCGACTTATTTAACTCCGTTATTGGATAACGCGATTTAAGTCGACGATGATATACGAGAAAAGGCGACAACAAACATTCGTACGCTCTAAATAGGAGTCAGATTCACAGGCCACTAAAAGGTAAAGTAATTCATATATACATATATATCGAGAAGTATTTGATGAAACTAATTTTATTCTGCGTTTGAACAGCACGAATAATCGGTCTTATAAATAAAGTATATAGAGTCGTAAAATATTTTTCAGCATATAACGAATTAACTCAAGATATGTTTAATTTTTTTCCTAACTAATAAGCATTGAAGTTGATTTTAAGAAGAAAAATGTTTTAGACTATATAATAAAAGATCAAGAAGATGATCTTCATTGCATTGAAACGCTAGCCTGTGATGTTTTAGGAGTTAATAATGTCCCATAGATTTGTTTATACTTTCTTAGTATGATTTCTAATAAACACACAGCATAGAATATTTTAGATGTATTTATGCATAATAACTGTACTTATATTTTATAGTTATGATATTCATTTGGCAATGATCTAGATTGTGTTAGGTTGTATGAAAAATAACAGAAGATCGTTTTCAGTCTATTTTCAGCAGCCGGAGTACACCAGTTCTGTTCTTTCTTTTCAGTTTACTTGGATCCATATTTTGGTGCATAAAACAAAATGGAACGGTCTCAAGACTTCTGTTTGTGTCATTAATGAAAAACAAACTGTTTTTAATGCTTATATTGAGCGGTGGCTAGTGCTAAAGGTTTAAGCTCAGCTTGGCTTAGTTCGGTTTTGGCAATTGAAAAGTATCACTAGTCTTCAAATATAGAATGTAGCTTGAAGCAATGTAAATCAATCTTTTTGGTAAACAAATTAGGTAGGATAACAACAATTTATCACCGAAAAATTAGGCCGCACGAGTACTGTGGTGTTTGAATTAACTAATGATTCTTTTGTACTTGTTGAATGCTTGATTTCGAATTCTAAATACAATACATTCGTTTGTGCTCATCTGGCACTTCTTGATTCAATCGCGTTATTTCTGGGATTCTTAGTTTATACTACAATTCAAATAATTTGAAATACCAAAAGTACATATAGGTATGATAGTTATAAAAAAATGTGTAGTGTGTGTAAACAAGAAGTTTCTTGAAAGTAGCTACAGATTCACACTTTCTCCTTAATCACTACATAAGTTTAGTTTATGTAAACCTATTTTTAAATATCTAGAGTTAACTTATGATGAAATGGGTAATTCTCAAATCTTGGCATAAATTTTGTAGAGCTTCTTGAATGCAATTCAAAGTGATTGGCAAAATCATCCGTTAGTTTTAAAACAATTAGTGATTAACGGATTGTCCTCACTAGCACTGTTAGCACTGGTTAATTAAGAATTGTTCAAAAATCATTGGAATATTATTCAAGATCTTGGAATACTACCTTGAGATCTATTTGTGTTTTATAATTACTAGATTACTAGGGTCCAAGTAAAAAGTAGGAAACTTCCCGGTTTTTCTCTTCAAAATTTTAAAAAATTCATCTTGAACTAGCCAATACAGAGTGTATGATTTTGTATTTATTGTTGGTAAACTTTATTTGACTGTTCGCCCGTTCCGTTTAAGAAAGAGACAACTTTTTCATTGGTATCAACTCATAATAAATAATTACCTTCAGTAACTGTCATCGCATACTTTATGATGAACTAAGCATTTAAAATTTGGATTCTTAATAAATAACAACGTTGTAATGATCTGGACAGGATGTACACGAGCCGAAAGAATGATTACTTTCAGACCTTCACATCAACAACAAAAAAATACAAACACCGGTAAATCTGTGAATTTTTTCACTATCAACAAAAGTATCCATTCACGACTCATCATTCTGATAAATATTTAAAAAATATTTTAGTTATTTCTGGATAAAACAATCCAGATCTGTCTTAATTGTATTCTAGATGCTTACAGACCATAAGTAGTAACGTAAGGAAAGCTGAGACAAAAGTAACCGTCTGCCAAGAATTCAGTAAACACAGACAATGTACTTATATGTAATGATGAAAACAATCGATAGCATTATTTATAGCATAAATGTAAGCTAAAAACAATCTGACAACAGAAATTAAAAGTTGATAGTATGAAGCTTTGGATGTGTTACACTGAAGAAAAAACAACTGTTAAGTTCATTTCTTGATACATAAATATGTTTCTGCAAAACATTTCAACAGAAGTCTAAAATATTCAGATGATATATAACCATTAAAAAATGTGCCCCCAAATGCCCTGGTATGGCCGAGAGTGGGGTGGGCCCTCCCTCTCGAAATGCACTCACACAGCCACGCGTATTCAGCCTCTGCAAGAGAAGTCCTACTCACTGCCTTCTCGTGGCGGGGGTGTTGTTTACGAAAATGAGAGGACGAAAAGCGAATTTCCGGCGCTTTAACCGGATTCCAAACTAATGGTGCACATGGGCTCCGGTATCCTGAGGGAACAAATGGCGTGTGAACCAATTGCTGGTCACCGGCTACCATGGGACTGCATCTCCTCACGAAGCTCCATTGCCTTGTGGGTCAGACCTTTAGGTCCAAGGCTCGGGGTGTGGCCCCCTAAGAAAACCACCTGCTTCGGTCTGGGCACCCAGGTAGTATCACAGCCCTCACACAAGTCGAATGATTTATGTAGCGCATATCTATTTGGTGCCTCCTTGTACCAATATTTATGTGTTTAAATAAATAAAATAATATTCACATATGGAAATTATTTCATAGAGTTTACAAAATAACTAAATTTGTAAAAGAAATCAAAAAGAAAAGAAGATTAACGAAGAAATAGTTAAAAGATAAGTAGAACTAGTCAAACAACTGAACAAGATATATATGGTTAAATGATTATTGAATTTGTCCTTCAATTATATTATTGTGTTGTTAAGTAATTTTCACTGGTTTCATCATTAACTTGTTTTTATCAATGAAAATTGGTTTATGTATTTACTATGCAGTTCTTCATTGTTAAATCCCTTTTGTTGTAATATGTCTGTGTTATATTAAAAGTAATTGTTCTTTATTAATCTTATTTGTTAAAATCGTTGGACATAAAATAATATCAGTAATTCTTGTAATATACTTTACTGGTTGTTTTTGGACAAGGATAATCTTTCTTTAAATGTACAAAAACGGTGAGACTATAATTTATGGACGACCATGGAGCGACGCTAAAGAAACCTTGAGAATATCCACCTATATACTACGGCTAAATGATGGTTATAAACCAGTGTGAGGAATTAAGATTAATATTTACAGTTGATCGTTAGGGTTAAGAATCAGATATAGGGTTTTAATCACGAACTGACATCAGCTCTAATGCCAAAATTCTATTTAATCAAATGTATGAATGAATTTCGCGCTAAAAATCAAGAACTGTTATCGTAAATCTGATTGGTTGGTCCATAAATTATAGTCTTGCCACAAAAACATATATTTCCTGAAGATAATACAATAGTCGTTTATTGAATTGTGGTGTATGCTACTTATGTCGACAGATATAAGTAGTTAGAGAAGGCTAAGAAAATTAAGTTGAACAGAAAACAGAAAGGGAATTAGAAAAGAATTGTGATTTGAAAGAATCTTACAGAATGTCAAGGACAAATTATAGAATTTTGCAAATGAAATATTCAACTCATGATTCTCATATTTTACCAAGAGATTGGTCGTCCATACCTGTAATCTCGTTCATTACAGAATGAGTGATGCATTTTACTGTATATTATTAAGATATTGATGGGCATAACTGGCATTTAATGAAATACCTTATTTTCCGCATGATGTCTTCCCATGTTTGGTTATTATGAATATTCCCTTCTAAGTTGTAAATATTTCATTATAAGAATGAATATGCACAAGTGGAAGAAATTTCAATGTTCATTCTTTGGAAATTCAAAAGAACATAGAATAAGATTACAGTCATGGTTTTTATTTACCAATTTACTTGTTTCTAATTCGTATTATTGATGTAATAGTAAATTATTTAACATATAAGTTGGCTAAGAGTATATAATCAGTATATTTATAGATGATCTATATTTATAAATAATCCGAATGGCTCAAACTGTAAAACAATATGTATAATGACCCTAATCAGGTGACTAATACAGTTGTTATTCAATTTATCATTCTGTCTTGACCTGTCGTGTCTGTTCAGTTTATACGACAGACGTGATAAGCTGTTTTTTAGGAGTAGTAATTCACACGAAGTGGAAAGGTACTAAAACACGTTTTGTCTACTTCATTAGTGTTTTCATGAATTCCTTACATACTATAATCATGTTGAATGAGTGCTATTACTGGCGTTGATCAATTTTGTTTTATTGAAAATAGTAGAGTATGTAACTGTTATTACAAATAGAAACATGGAGTTACATGACGTAAACAGACTAAAACGGACTGTTAGGTTAAGTTTCCCACTTTTTGAACAATATATTGTAGCCTATCGATACGATATGATTAGGTTCGTAAGGAGCTAAAAAAAATTATGATCGATCGGTATTTCGTATAATTATACTCCATATTATAAATCTTTTGGGGTTAAGTTGATGAATTAAAAATTAAGACACCAATGATATATGCCTGACTAATCACGTACATCTATCATTTATTCAATTACGTATTGGCCCACTGCATCATTATATACTCTGATCACTCATTCGTAGATTAAGTTAAGTATTCTTTGACTGTGAATTGTTAGGTTAACAAAAAACGATTGGCGGAAATTATTGGACTAAAAGTTCGTGCTTAATAGTACTCTTCAAAGTGATAGATCTGTAATTTTGAAAGTACCAATGTTCCTCTTGGAATTTAAATTGGGAAGCAGTATCTGATTATCTCTTCTGTGAAACGTAATGCCACCAAGTTTATTTCAGGGTTTAGGGTTAGGAATTAAAAATAGTATTGATTTGTCTATTATACACTATCTAAAGGAATAGCATTAGTCATTTGATGAGTTTTACACCTTTATTTATTCTGTGGTTTTAAAAATAATCGTTTGTTATCATTTTATGCAGTATACAATTGTATTTTCACTGCTCATTATACATGAAATTTGAATTTTGAATAAAAACCTGAAATTTATTCTCTCGACTCTGATTGGTTCATCCTTGAAATGTATTTTCACCTCAGCAACTGCATGATATTCAATTTTTGCCCATTTTTTAAGTAAACTCGAAATCTGATAACTTTTCGCAAATTATTGGACTACTTGATGAATAAATTTGTAAAATACATATTAAGCAACCTTTACGAATGGTTTTACAATTCATTTACAGTAGTTGACATAAAGAGTAGTTGTTGACAATTAATAAATAAAGACTATCCATCTAAACATTGATCCCTGAATGTGTAAATTAAAATCATCTGCTTTGGGCCAAATAAATCTACATTTATAAATTAACTTGCTTACATAGAGGTGGTTATATCAGTCACATACAGTAAGTTCTTTCGATATGTATCATTGAGAATTATCGTAATAGCCCGTCAAAATATAGTATTCAGGTTAGTTGATATCTCGACTCGTGAAGATCTCATATATTCCAGTTAACTTACACTATCAGAACCTTCTTTCAAAGTCACCCCCAAAGTAAAATGAAGTGAGTCAAGGAGAAGTACCAGTTAAAAATGTATACAGAACAGTAACTTCAGCAACCCACCGATTTACGCCTAAATTTTATGTTAAATCTGATGTCTCTCTCTACATTGATTATAACTCCTTTCGTACTTTTCATATATAGTAATCATTTATTACTCCTAATTTTTTGTGGTCATAATGTTGATTACGCTCCAATCAATCAAAGGATGGATAAACTTCAACGCAATCCTCTTTATATTACTGTCTAGCTGTGATATATGGTTCACGAAAGTAAAAGACAAGTAATTTACAGGCTTGTGTTCAGAGTTGCCTTCAAAGTACTGTTCAGACGTGTTGGAACCCAGGGCAAAACACAGGATACTTGGAAAAATAGACAAGAGCATAGACGTGACTATAAACTTTCATTGAATGAGGTGGTTAGTTCATTCATTCAGGACGTCTGACTACCTACCCGAATGTTCGACGTAGGATGAAAGGAGCAAGTTGACGAAAAGCTAGGGGTGGCCAGGTCAAGGTATAGAACCAGCTTGTACAGTCCCTGACTGTTAGTTTGCGTCATATCAATATTTTCATATTTCGTAGTTGGGTCCCAAAAAAATTTTCGGGATTAATGGCCTCGGATTTTGAGAGATATAGTGCGAATTCGGCAACAATGGCTCAGTTGCTTTCTTTCTATAACTTCTATCTATTATTCCTATGTTTGTATCACATGTTTAGATTTCCTCCAATTGTAGATGTTAATTTCCATTCTATATTTCTCAACTTGTTGATTATTTCACTCTGTACTGACGTGACCTATCAACCAATGTACACTTTTTACAAGTCCTAGTTTAATATTTATTTTATTTATTTATTTTAACACATAGATATTGGTACAAGGAGGCACCAAATGGATATGCGCCACACAAATCTCATTCGATATGTGTGAGGGCTGTGATACTGCCTGGGTGTCCAAACCGAAGCAGGTGGTTTTCTTAGGGGGCCACACCCCGAGCCTTTGACCTAAAGGTCTGACCCACAAGGCAATGGAGCATCGTGAGGAGATGCAGTCCCATGGTAGCCGGTGACCAACGATTGGTTCATACGCCATTTGTTCCCTCAGGATACAGGAGCCCATGTGCACCATTAGTTTGGAATCTGGTTGAAGCCCCAGACATCCGCTTTTTGTCCTCTCATTTTCGTAAACACCCCCGCCACGAGAAGGCAGTGAGTAGGACTTCCATAGCAGAGGCTATATACGGGTGGTCGTGTGAGAGCATTTCGAGAGGGAGAGTGGACTCATCCCACTCCCAGCCATACCAGGGCAATTGGGGGCAGGTTAATAACAACTAATTGAGAGTATTTAATCAAATAAATATCTAGAAATCAGTGATAAACTAGATGAATACTAGATAACTTAACATTCAATACTGATAATGAATTATCATTCTAAATCATTTGGTAAGTAAGTAAATATTCAAAGAATGAAAATTACCTGCAAATAATTTAGTAAACTCCATTTCACTGTATTACATTACAATCTATGCAGCAAAATTAACAGGGAATCACGATCAAATATATACACATATATTTAAACTGAAGTCTTATCTTAAAGATTTGGCATTTGTCCAAATATGTGGTATACTACATCTGGTGTTGCTAATATTACCTTAATAATGAAATATATTATATCTGTTTTCAAAGTTAACACAGAAAATGCAGTTTACATGTCTATGTATTTAAAAAAAAAGGGAAAATCAACATCTGTTTTTTTCTCATTTATCCTTAGTAAACACCAACGCTTGTATTTGATAAGGATTGAATCTTAATAGATTTTTTATAATGTAAATGAATAATTATTTAGATGATGGAGATCGTTTGTAGATCAAGAGGACCATGGTAGAGAGACTGAGTTCTCTAAGCTAAATGAATTAGTCTCGCAGCTTTTATTGCTAGTTCTGAGTAAATAAATGCACTGTGTAGAAGAAACATCTCACCTCTTTGATTAATGAAGCTTATATACTGTAAGTAGCTACTTTTTTTCTCCACATGACCTATCTTCTACTAAAATACTTGTGGATGGTTGTACTTTACGAAAGCCAGCTT